TGTTAGTTGGAAATAGCATGTTCGTATTTCCACAGATAAAGCACATACATCCCACAAATAATCAATGATTGGGAAAACATGGTTTTACTGCATCAGAATGTACAAGCAGTCACTGTATCAATCAGTGACAAGTTCTTGCTCTGGAAAAGATTACAAATGCACTGAAAACAATGTGTAATGAGGTTCTGATGATAGTTTCATGAAATCAAAACAACTTAATTAATAAATTTTCAGTAAATAAATGGGTAGCAGTTACACACATTACTGCTGTACATGAAGATTCAATGGTTACCACAAGACACAGTTTCATGTATTCACGGTGCACATAGAAATCTCGTTACTCAGTGCTAACCATCCCTTCCAGCTTTCATCACATCTGTATGACAATGCGGATCCAGAGGTTCGCAAACCTAGCCAACATTTATACAAAGCTATATGAACTGCATCTATCATTCCATTTAATCATCAGGGGCATCATGCACATGCACAGAGAATCATGGGCAATGGCATCATCATTATCATCATTCCAACTTGCAACTTTGACTATTCATCACAATGGTATTACTTACTACCTTAGGAAATAAAGATCAAGTTTGGACTGGCTAAATTTCATAAAAATCAGATTACCTGCTCTAAAGTAATTATATGGCAAAACATGTAGTTTGTAGGACCACCAATTGATGGCAGCAGAATCTCATGTGAAAGCTGACAGATACAGACATATGAACAGGTCCATGAGGTGTTCTTCACTTATGTCAAAGTGTAAAGAAACGCCTAAAAAGCAATCACTTCATACTACTGACTAGCATCAAGAAACTATAATCAACATGTTTGTGTTGGAAATTTAACATAAATTCATCTTCAATTATATTACTAATAAAATAAAATAACAAAAAGCTATAAATTATGTACAATCATCACTCACATCCATCTTAAGTTTCTCAACTTCTTTGAGTGAATCTCTGTGTTGCTGATGCAGTTTATCCAGCTCTTGAAGGCGGTTGTTAGCTAACTCCCGAAGTTCTTCTACTTCTTTCTGGAGATCGTCTAGCTGAAACAATAAAGAAGAATAAACATGTACAGGTAGCTGTCGATTTGCGCCGGTTCAGAATAACACCGATTTTGAAACCAGAAAGTCAAAAAGTGGGGGGGAATACATTTTTATTATTTATTTATTTGACTGCAAATGGGTTTTTACCCGGTGGCAGTGGTCCTACAATAAGACACAACAAAACATAAGACAACAAAAACAATAAGAAACAACAGAACAATGAGACAGAACAAAAAAACTTAAAGAATGGTTCGCTAGAAAATAATTTTTTAATCCTTTAAAGCCCAATGGTAACCATATGTCCCACCCTCTTCAATAATCAATAAATTTTCATTTTGTAAACAGCGATTATTTCTTTAAACAGTGTCAGCAAGATGTTTCTTGCAATGGTGAACTGTTGTGTTTTCTTATCGGTACGGACCGACTTCTTAAATATTATTTATACGAGCTTCGGCTTGAAATGGTTAATAACTAAGAATGTGTGTCAATATTTTCCAGGAAGCAATGCCATTAAGACTGAAGGAGGTTCACATTGTTAATCAACCATTCCTGTTCAACATGGTATGGCAAATGTTCAAACCCTTCGTTAAGGAAAAGTTGAAGAAGAGGGTAAGTGATGAGAATGTGATATATAGCACAGAAACATGTGTTTATCTTAGATGATAAAGCCGCTTTGTCTCAATGAGTGACGCGCATGGCTTCCTCGACTTCACAGACATGGAGGCTGTACAACAAGACCTAATTTTACATTTAATGGTTATGATCGTCTGGTGATTTTAATATCAACATCATGTCTTGTAGTTCTTGTGAATTCATGAATTCTGACTTTGAATTTCAGTTCCACACACACTAGAAGAGAAACCATTACTAATTCTGTGATTCCAGAAATATTGCGGCTATCAGAAATTACTATGTAATAAAACTGTTATTCGTGTAGGAAAATTTAATTTGAGAAACAGATTATCGACAAGCTAGTAATTATAGTTAACTTTAACCCTGTCTACTCTATACACTGCATAATCTAATTAGTGATATGGATATATTTGGAATGTGGGGAGATCAGCGAAAGAGTTTGTATGAATATTTAAACTGAAGCTAACACGAAAGTCTTTTAAGCAAAGAAATTTATACATTACTATGAAAATACACCAACAGAAGAAGGTTAACTTATATAAATTCAGGCTAGAATCGGTTAAAGCAAAATACTAGAAAAGTGTTCATTAATAGTAAAATTTAGGCAGTTGTGTTCTACTTGGAACTTGTTTTTCATTTTTACTTGTTATAAACTGTAAAGTAAATTAAAATTTCAGGGGAAGAAGGTATTACAGATCCCGTGTAGACAAAGAAAAAGAAGAAGGAATAATTTTAGAGACGAAAATGTCTTAACGTTAATGAAAATTTAGCTTATAACAGAATTATGAATTATAAAAATGTACAATAAACATAAAAGAAAATAGTTGTATAATATTAAATGAAAATGGAATAATAAATTTAATTATAAATTATCAGAAACTGTAAAGAAGGAATAAATCATAGCTACAAGAGGAGGTATTTCACAGCACAAGACCAGCGCTAATAGATTTAGTTATCTTGAAGTAGCAAACTGCAAAATCTCAATGTTACAATCTTCTGCATGTAGAAGTCAACTAAATAAATGATCTGATACGGTTTGAAATACAACTTCTATAATTTAAAATGTAATTTCTTATGCGCAAATAAAAATTATAAATACAGTCATCTCTGCAATTACGTATGTTTCGTTAACGCGAATTTGCTCCAATGAGATCGATGAATCGGTAAAAGCTGTTTGTGAAATGCAAACTTTTGCATATGCGATTTCATTCCTGGCGCTTTAAACTTTCAAAGGTCTAATTTAATCTCTGCGGAGATACCGGGGTTATTTTTTCTACGCGATTCTCTATAGGTCGGCGTCTTACATGAATGCAACTATAGCATAACAGCAAGAGATGACTGTAAACATCAATCACATGAAAGAATATTCACACTTACTTTAACCCTTTATATCCCATGCCCGAGTTAACTCGGAAGGCCAACATGGCTTCCGCTGTCCCAACCCCGAGTTAACTCGGAATTGAAATTTCACGCCGTCTCCCACTCCCGAGTATAATCTGGCGACGTAGTTTGATAGTTTACCACTCAATGGAATATCTGACAATCGTTCTACATCGCTGCACTTGAGATACCGAAGTTTTTGTGTGATCATGATTTTTCTTGACAGCTGTCTGTCAAAAAGGTTTCAAGTAGTAAACATAGCATGACTGAAGATGAGATTTTAGATGTTTTAGGTAATGATAATGTGCCTTTTTTAAAGACAGAAATTATGACTTTGCTATCGACGATATTGTCGAAGGCAATGACGAAAGTGATGATACAGAATGAGAGGAAAAGGACGAAGACAACAACGAGGCTGCTCCAACTTTCTTAAAAAAACAAAACAAAATGAAGGTTACAGCAACAAAATGTAATTCCATGTACAATATGGGTGAATGACACAAATTTTGTGCTACAGAAGCATGATTTTGACCGATCCCATTGAGTGATTAGAAACCTGCATTGGGACATGTACAAAGTGGGTTAAAACTCGGGAGTTAAGGGGTTAAGCAGCACACCTGAGAATATATTGTGACAGCAGTGCACATCACATATTAGATGTTTTATATCATTATTGCCAAAAACATTGAAAACATTACAAATTTCCTTTTAGACTTCAGTAATTATAATCTCAAAAAATAGAAGAAAAAATCTCATCACACAGAAAAACCATAGCACATGAATTCTTTCATTAAGCCGAAGAAATTTAGACTTGTAACCATTTTTAATCTAAATAAGAAAAATATTCTTAAAGTCATTCATTCAGGATCTCCAACATCAAATTTAATCAAAATATGTATATACGACAAACATTTTTGTACAGATAAAACTTGGAGTTAAGTCCATGCTGTCCAATATGGTACAAAAGTACCAATTTCAATTTCATTAGGAAGTCAAATCATTAAATTTAATTAAAATGAAATTATGCGGGATAAAGTGGACTGAAAATACAATTAAGATCTTAGCAATAAAAATTGTTAGCCACAGTTTCTTACTTCAAATTCTAAAGTTTTTTGTCTTTCAGATCTGATACAAGTCAGAGTTGATATCACAAGTTCTTAGAACAGTGAAGATTTTAGAAGCCAGGGAAGTGAGAATTACCTTCTTTTGCGAGACACTGGTAGTGACTACAGGTTTCACTATACCCTTATCTTCACCATGTATCTGCTGATAAGTTTTAAGTTTCTCAATGGCTTCTGCCAAGTGGTTCTCCAGCTTGTCATTTCGAGACTGTACTTTCAGCAATTCATACTGCAAATCGTCAATCTGGTTTCGGAGTTCAGCTGCTTCAGTCTCCTTCCCTGTTAAACTATCTTGAAATTCTGCCATCTAGTACAACAATGCATCAATTAGACAAAAGTTTCAACTAATATTACCACAATTAAAACTAGTTCATAATACCCAAATAAATATTCTTTTAAATGAATAAAATACCTAGAAGATTTGACAAAAAACATGGCCATACACAAACATACTGAGTGTATGACAATTTTTTATTCCTGTACAACTAGTTTAGATGCTATTTTTGTGAAGGTGAATTTGAGTTCAATTCACACTACACATGTATAATGTTTTGTCAAAATTCATCCACAATATGTACCTTAAGTGAAATAGTATGATATTTTTCATGTAATGATGTGTTTAGTGCTTGCAAATTCCTATTTTCACCTTGAATTTCAATGTTGGCTTGTCGGATTGTCTCATCCATATTTGGAGCTTCATCTACAACAGAGATCCAACAAATTTCATTAATAAAATGTACACAAATATAATTAAAATTGCAGATTATATACAGTGCACCCTGGTGGCATAACAGTACTACTCAGCCCTGTCAAATAAATGCAATTTACATTAATTTAATTTCATACTTCTTTGATTTGATAACTGGTTATTCATTCTCTAACTAATGCGGTCCACTCATGAGTTCCCACCTGATTTGCAATAAAAGTTGTTCAAAAGGACATAACCATGGTGAAGAAGCTCAGCAAATAACTCACTGTCCTCTAATATTCTGCTTGCCACTGACTTTTCTCTTATTGATCTTTCACCAACATAAATTCCACATATGTTCTATTAATGCCAGTTCTGTAATATTCCAAATAGTCATATGATGATCATTTCTCATCATTCAGTCATTTTGTCCACATTTGGATTAGTTATTGAAGTAGTCAGAAACCTTGATATTCAATTATTTGTAATGCCTTTTATGACTAAGTTATTCAACCCCACCCCCCTCTCCAAACTGGTATTCTACTCATTGTTCCCTCTCCATAAACTTCCTTCAAGTCACTAATATTTCCCCCTCTTCACTGATAATCTGTTCTGTTTTTAAACACATTGAATTTTTCCTTACAACTAGTTGTGGATCACAACATATAAAAATCATTACAATTCATTCAGAGACAAAATTCACTAAACTTGCCACATTTTAAACCAAATCACATGAATCAGAAAATTGAAGACAATAACCATTCTAATATTTGAGAAAAATCCCATCTTTCCAAGATGACTGCATGACTGAAGTTTCTGCCTGAACAGGCAATATGGACAAAGCGAAAAGTTTAATGCTGCAATAATTAGCAGTAACTTCATAAAAATGTCAATCATTTCCACCATAAATAATGTTGATATAGTAAAACACAATCATTAAAATATGGGCAATACTATAAATTTTATACGACAGCAACACATTCCAAAAGAACTGCATACAAAAAAATTAAGTTAGATAATACGCAAAACCAACTGTACTTGCAACATTTAAGAAAGATGAATATTCAGAAGATATACCTAAAATTTAACTGAAGTCATGGCCCTGACTAACATTATTAATTTTTTGGGGTCTATAAAACAATAAATTTATGTACATTTAAAATACTGATCATGTTCATGCAGT